CTCCTGTGTTGAACAGTTTCTGAGTTATAAGCATTTTTGCAAGTCCAGACACCCCTTTTTCAAATAAATTGGGGGTCCGGGGGGAAGGGGGGGTTGATTGCTGGGCCTAATGGATACAGCTTCAGGCCCACTTGAATTGAATTGGAATAGGAAAATGATCTTGCACGAAGCCCATTGTTTGATCGTGTTGTATCAATGCGAGGCGTGTAACCTGATAGTAGGGGTGGAAATCTTTTACACTCTCACAATTCACTTCTGATTTTTGGGGTACGAAAAACTGTCCCGTGGGGAAGTTTTGATTTATTTTCTGGTTCTTTGTAATACAGTTTTACCAAAAGCTGGACATTATCAGAGGAGTCCGACATTACCTCTTCCACCAGTTGTAGCCTACACTCAGGATTCAACTTGTTGATTTTGCTGCAGAAGGCAGCTCAACACAACACACACACAGCATGTGGGTGTGTGCCCACAGGTTTTTGCTACCTGCTGGGGTCAGTTTTCCCTGTAAACACAGCCTGGTAAGGACCCATTGTTCCTTATGGGTTAAAAGCCCCGTCCCTGTTGGGGAAAATACTGTTGGTGGGTCAGGATTAGGCTGTATAAATGACTGGGTAAATGTACAGAATTCAATGCAAAGTCCCCATGAAAATAGAAGAACAAACACATGTGTGTGCTGCACCGCTCAGCACTGTGTGTGAATAAAGAAAGGGGGTGGGGGGGAGCAGGCTGTCTTTGCTGCAACGGAGGCAACATWAGAACCACTGCAGTAATGTATCAGACAAGGTTGCCAAATGGGACGTAGTAAAGTGTTTTACTGTCCTTTTAAAATTACCATATTTTGAGTCAACACAGCAGATATGCTGTATGTGACTCATTCAGTCATATATGCTGTGTGAGAGAGTTGTAAGATAAGGTGTGTGGTGAAAATGTGCACTGAAAAAGAGGAGAAAAAATTCACAACTTTTTAATCTGGAACTGCGCTGATCATGCAGCAGCTGCATGATACGTCGAACTTGGTGAATAAGCCAAAGTTCCATTGGACCTAAGATGCTCTTTGTGTTTTGCTTTTACAAGCTGCAAAGGGTGAGTAACTCAGAAACCCTCAGGTGTCTGTAATTTATRGTAATTGTTGTTAGTTTAGAAGAAACTTTTGCTGTGTGCCGGTGGTTTGAACATTTATGCGCTTTCACAGCAGCTGGGTGCTTCTCAAAATCTCCACTCTGAGACCAGGATTCAGAAATCTCCAGGTTCAGAGAGAAACACAGTTGGTGTCGTGTACACGATCGGCCGAACCGCAGAAAAGAACCTGTGGTTTCACACAAAATCTGCATTGTGTAAACATGGCCTTAGATTGGATCATGACCAGAGGTAGCAGTTCAACAATCTGAGTCAGCTTTGGAACTGTTATGGCAATATTTATTTAACAAAGACAGAAATACGTTGTCCAAGAATGAAGGTACTCCGTGAGATGATCAGCTGAGTTTTATTGCAACAACAGGAAACACAGACAACAACCTGGCTTTGTCTCTGAGCCTCTGCTTCTCTCTGTCACTGTCTCTCCACACTACTGTTGAACCCTGTGTCTCGAGAGGCCTCATACAGGTGCTGGTCATAAAATTAGAATATCATGAAAAAGTAGATTTATTTCAGTAATTC